ATACCAAATTACTGTGTAAGTTAAGCAGTTTTGGATTTTCATTCTACTTTAGATGAGTAAAAATGCTTACGCTGAAGGTCCTTTGTGCATTTTGCGACACAACCTTTCCCAATATACGGGGGCTGAAAATTAAAACCACTGAGTATTAAATTGTAGAGAAAATCTTCACTTAGTACTATAAGAATCATCCTTTATTTGGTAGTATTAAATATTTTTATTTGACGAGGCATGTTCAAGGTCAAGCAAGTAAAAAATTGAAATTTTGTTTTAAAAAAAGAATGAAACCTGAGTCTAAGAAAACGAATAAGTCCTTGGCAACATTTCCCTTTGTATTTTTTTTCAGTTTGTTTACTCGTTGAGCCATGTTTTTCTTCCCAATGTCGGATAAGTCATCGGGCAACAATGTTGCACCCAAAATTGCCAATTTTAAATCAATTTAATTCGTTCTTATTTTCAGAAATCTGATTCTTGTCGATGTAAATGTGACTGATGTAAAATTCAAATTTCAAATGTTCTCATAATATTGTAAACTCAAATTTCGACCATTATTAGTGAAAAATAATGAGATTCCAGAGGTTTCTCTTCGCTTCTTCATGTTAGTTAAACTTATATACATTGACTCATTTTTTCGCTGTTGTTCTCAAAAATCACTCAGATGAGCTAGTTAACGGTCAAAAGTTCAATGGCCAAAAAAATTAATCGTAATTCCTTAAAAAATTTGTACTTGCGACTGTCATGAAAGCAAATTCATATGAGACGTGGACACATGCACCTCTTGTAGTTCGGACTTGTAGCTTCAAAACTTATTTCAAAAAGTCTAAGAGGTCATCCACGCTGTTAGAAGGCACATTGCATTTTAAGAAAAGAAACAATAATTATGATTCTGAAATACATGTTTCGACAGTTTTTTCAGACTTCTCAGTTCAATCATTTCAGAGTATAAAAGTGAAAAAGTTCAAAAGTAAAACGATTCAAAATAAAAAAAACTTAAGATGACAGACGAACTGTTGAAGCATGTCTTCCAAAGTCCAAAATGTTGTGTCGTCTTA